ACCCTGAGGAACTGTATTAAAGGGTCGCAGCCTTAGGAAGGTTGAGAAGCACTGGTTTATAATAACAAAACCTTGAGACAACTTCAATGGTGATCAGGGAAGAACAGATGGTAGTGTATTGGTATGACGGAGTAAATGATTTAACAGCTCTATGTGTCCTATGAGTAACTCACAAGACTATGTATGTTACAGAATGGCATCAGCAGCATTATGGCACATGCACACACATAGTCATGTCACTTACTGATGGGGACATGCTGATTTCATCATTGTGTGGCTGTTCTAAGGTGTGACTGTACAAACCTAAATAGTATCACCTACTACAAACCATAGCTATATACTGTAGCTCATTACTCCTAAGCTACCAACTTATTCAGCCTATTACAGTGTGGTACTTACCACTGGAGTACAGTGGTAAACATCCGTGCATCTAAATGTATCTAAACACAGGACAGTAAAAATCCTAGTGAAGGGAGTGTCTCAACTCTCCTATAATCTTCGGGGCCACCATTACGTATGCGGTCATTTTGTGGCTCGTGGCTGTGTACACACGTGGCGGTTTGGTAATGCCCAAAACCAAACCCTTCTTTATGGGGTCATGCCTGTGTGGAAAATGCACAAAACCAGACACAATAATGACAAGTGTCACACTCTGGAGCGGGGAGGGAGGGACTGGGATTGCAAGCTGGGGGTAGCGCAGGCTGCAACTGTATCAGCAGTCCTTTGCTTCCAGTGATCACAGCTGAGCAGGGAGCAGACCGGTGTGTGCTGTTACTCTTTCTACGCTTCTGCCTGTTTCAACAGTGTCGGGGATTTAAAAGGGCTGGGAGAGTGCTCGTCTGGCATGTGTGCAGCCCTGGGTTCAGTCCCTGCAACACACACGCTTAAGTATTTACTTAAATTGTGTGTGAGTGTGTGCTTGTGTGTGTGCATCTGTGCAGCTGTAGGAGTGCCACAGCACGCGGCTGGAGGGGGGAGGGCAGCTCTCAGGAGTCACTCCTACTACCCTGTGGGATCCAGGGACGAATGGAGGGTTGTGGGGTCTGAATGCAAGCTCGTCTCTCCACTCAGCCATCCTGCCAGCCCCTATGCACTTAAAAGAACAGTCAACGACTAAACAGGACAGAAAAAAAAAAAAAAAAAAAAAACAAGCAAGTATTTGCAGCGTGTGTTGAGGGAGGTGTCCCCGTGGGAACTAAGCCCGGAAGTGGCGGAGGAATCCCAAGGAGGCAACAAAATGGGTTGAAACTTGCCTAGAAGACAGAAAACAACCTGGTGGTATTTTGAACATTTGGGATATGAACATCACCTGCAATTAGAAAAATAGAAACCAGAGCTGGAGAGATGACTCAGTACTTAATAACACTGGTTCCTGCAGAGAAGCCAGGCTCGATTCTGAGCATACCCATAGTTGGCTCGCAACCACTCCCAGGGGATTTGACTCCCTTGTCTGATCTCCTCGGGAACCAGAAATGAACATAGTATACAAACATACATGCAGGTAAAAGGCACACATAATATATATATATATATATATATATATGTATATATATATACATCTATATATACATGTGTGTATATGTATAAATACACACACACACCTCTATTTGGATGCCTAGGTGAGAAATAAATTACTATAAATTTAATAGGTTGTTAAGAAGAATAAAACTTCACTGAGCAAAACTGGTCAATGGCTGTTAACAAATTTGCATTTCCAAATTCACTCTGCATGTTGACCCTTGTTTAAATCCTATTTTCCCTTGGAGGTTTTCTCAAATGACACCTCCTTCATGAGGTCACTGGGATTGAATCGCGGCTTCACTCCAACATCCCTGTCACACAGCATTCCTCCTGGAGTCCCCTGGGCCCCTCATTTTCTGTCTATCCAATGTTACAACTGCTTAGATAGGCCTTGACTTCCTTGGTGGATTGCCAGATCCTGCAGACACTGGCTCCTTTGCCTTTGCCTGCCTGAAGGTGTGGTGCTCGTGATGCTTGGTAAGAATATGAACGGAGAGACCTTGCTGAAGAGAAAAACAGATAACTGGAAGTGGATCCCTGGTCCAGCCTGAAGAGTGCAGGATGTTTGTCCTAACCAGCCGTTCCACTGTGCTGTGTGTGGCTGTGATGAACACCCTGAGCAAAAGCCCCTCGGGGCAGAAAGGGTTTATTTCAGCTTTCAAGTAAAGTCCATCCCTGGCAGAAGCCAGGGCAAGGAGCTCAAGGCAGGAACCTGGAAGCAGGAACCGAAGCAGGGACCTGAGGAATGCTGCTTACTGGCTTGCTCTTTCTGGATTTCTCAGCTTGATTTCATATACCACTGAGGACCACTGGTTCAGGGGTGGCACCACCCAGAGCGAGCTGGGCCCTCCTGCATCAATTAGCAGTGAGGAAAATGCCCTACAGACACACCCATAGGCACATCTGATGGAGGCAACCTGAGGGCCCCTCTTCCCGGGTCTGTCAGGTTGACACCTGAAGCTAATTCTGGCAGCCATGCGCATTGTCTGGGTGTGCTGTGCAAATCTGCCATCTCAGATTCTCTCCTTTCGACTCGTGTGCTCTATCAGTTTCTGTCGCCAGGCTCAGCCACAACCCCAAGATGCTGATGCTGTTCCAAGGAGATGCTTTCAGAAGCATTGTGGGAAAATCATGCCTGCAGTTCCCCCAGCAGCTGGATGCATGCTCAGCTCCAGGTCCAGGGCATATGGCTGGGTGGGGATCAGGAGCCCAGAATCAGGATTCCACACAAGTAGGCTAAGGGTACAAAGAGTCAGGCTGCTGAGGGTTGGTCTGGACCAGCAGGAAGTCTGGCTGGAATTTAAGGTAGTTACATCAGTGAGTAAAAATAAAATGAAAATGGAATGCCTTGTCACCCCACTTTCATCGGTGTGGCTGTTACAAACAAAAACAAACCACAGAAAATAGCAAGCGTCCTCCAGGATGCAGAGAAATTTGAATCTCTTGAGCACTGCTGAAGAATTGGGCAGCCACCTTAGAAAACCTTATGGCAGTTCTTCAAAAAGTTAAATATAGATTTCCATACAGTACAGCCACTCCACTTCTGGGAAACATCAGGAAGAGTCAAAAGCAGAGTCTTAAAGTTGCATCTGCACCCCAGCACAGTAGGATCTGCCCCCCAGCACAGTAGGATCTGCACCCCAGCACAGTGGGTGGGATCTGCACCCCAGCACAGTGGGTGGGATCTGCACCCCGGCACAGTGGCATCTGCACCCCAGTAGTGTTATCTACGATGAGCAAAGGGGGAAGCACCCCATGTCCAACGGGGTGCATGAAGATGAAAACGTGATAAGCATAATGGAGTATTATTCAGTCTTAACGGAAGCAAGGCTGGGGGCCTCTGTCAGTCAAGCGTTGGTCTCCAGAACCCACACAGAAATGCCAGGCATGGTGGCCTGTCTGTAATCCTGGTGCTGGGGTCAGAGACAGCAGGAGCCCTAGGGTTTGCTAGTCGGCTAATTGTAGGTTCCAGGCCAGTGAGAGACCCTGTCTCTCAGGAGCTGGACAGGCTTCCCCAGAATGATACCTGGGGTGGTCCTCTGGCCAACACACACACAAGCACGCGCACACACGTGGTAGTCCTCTGGCCTACACACATACACACATAAACACACACACACCTGGGGTAGTCCTCTGGCCTACACACACACACACACACCTGGGTTAGCCCTTTGGCCTACACACACACACACACACACACACACACACACACACACCTGGGGTAGTCCTCTGGTCTACACACACACACACACACACACACACACACACACACACACCTGGGTTAGCCCTTTGGCCTACACACACACACACACACACACACACACACACACACACACACATTTATTTACAGAGAAGGAAATTCTAACACATCCCACAAGAAGATAAACCTTGGGGACTTTATGCTATGTGGAATAAGCCAGTCACCAAAGGACAGAGGTTTTATGATTCCATTTATATAAAGCATTTTAGATGAATCAAAAATCATAAAGTAGAATGCCAGAGATCATAGGCTGGGAGAAGTGAAGAGTTTCCTTTAATTTCTCTATTTTTTTTTTCTTTCAATTCTGCAAGATGAAAGAGTTCAGGAGATGGAGTCAGGGTGGTGGTGACTATACACATTATGAACATACTTAATGTCACTGACCTGTATGGCCAAAAGGGATTAAGACACTAAATCGCATGTTTCGTGTACTTTATCACAAGGAAAAAAATGGAAAAAAAAAATACAGGATGATAAGGCTAGAGAGATAGCTCACTGGTTAAGAGCGTTGGCTTCTCTTTCATAGGACCTGGGTTGGGATTCTCTGTAGGACATGGTGGGTCACAATCACCTGTAATTCCAGTTCAGGAGATCCTACGCCCTCTTCTGGCCTCAGAGGGCACTGCACACAAGTGGTGCACAGACACATGGAGACAAAATACCAGTACACATTTTAAAAAGTAATAATCTTCTTTTTGAGACAGGTTATATACATATATATGTTTACATACATATATGTATGTAAAATTTACTTATTTCTTATTTTATGTGCGTTGGTGTTTTGCCTGCATGTATGTGTGTGAGGGTATTAGATCTTAGAGTTACAGACAGTTGTCAGCTGCCATGTGGGTGCTGGGAGTTGAACCCAGATGCTCTTACTGGCCGAGCTACCACTCCAGCCCCTTGAGGCAGGTTTTACATGTTGTCCTGGAACTCGCTCTGTAGATCAGGCTGGCCTTGTACTCAGAGATCTCTCTGCCCAGAGTGCTGGGATTAAAGGCATGTACCACCACCACCCAGCTAAAAAGTAATGTCTTTTTTTAAAGAAATCATACAAGATGACCAATACAGTTTGAATTTCAGACAAATAACAAAATTCTTCAGCATCATTTTATCTCATGCAACACTGGGGACATACTTGTATTAAAATATTACTCACATATCTGGAATTTCCTTGGGCATTGCCTAATTGTCTGGCAGCCCAGACATAGGTCAGGGATTTTGTTTTGTTTTGTTTTGTTTTGTTTTTACACAGACCACAGCATGCCTCCTGGGTGGGGGATATATTCCATTCCCATTTGCCTCTCCAGCCTGGTGTCACCTCCACGTGGGTTGGTCACCTCGCCACCACTGGGTACTCTGACAGCACTTGCCTCCTAAGACATTCACTGACTGACATGCCTGCCTGTACCTTGGATGGAAAGTGGCTAAGCTTCCAAGTCAGAGAATCTGGTATCAAACACAGCCTGTGGAATCTAAAGCTGGGTGGCTTTAGTAACTCAGCCTCTGTAAGCCTGTCTCCCCCTATAAAACGTGAATGCCACTAAGAGGCTGTGATAAATGAGAACATGTATGTAAAGCACATAGTAGGTGCCCAGAAATATGACGTGCAGTGGCTTTTCAGAGCCAGGATGCAGGGACCTGGTGCAAAAACCAGCAATGCCTTCTGTGCTCCAGGGAGGTGCTATTGGGTGGATGAAGGAGCCAAGTAAGGACATGTACTCTGTAGTGACTCTCTGGCTCCTAGTGGTCCATCCTTGCTGTTAGCCATGGTTCTAGTGGAAACAGAAGACATTTCCCAGTGCCAGCCTCTGACGGTCTGAAAGAGGAATGTAAGGGAAACAAGGTCTTAAATACTTTTGTGCTTTGCCATAGCCAGTGTATCGGTCCTCACGAACAGGATGGCACAGAAAAGCCTTTCAACTCATGGGGCTCCCTGAGTCACAGACATAGCAGTAAGGGTGACAGCCACGGCTGGCCAGGAAACCAGAGAACACATGTAGGCTCTTGAGACCCCCAACACCCAGCTCCCTCTCCCCTTAAGAGCATCTTTCGACCTCTAAATTTGTGGCTCAAACTCAAGGCAGCCTTCTTGCCTCAGTGTCCCTTGTGCTGGCACAAGCCACCACACCTAGCCATTTGATGTGTTTCAGATTTTCTAAATACACTATTGTTTATATAGCCAGATTTTGAAGGGGGAGGGAGCCTGTTTTAGTGTCTCTCACCTACCAATCCCACCCCCAACCCATCTCCTCCCCAGTCTTAGGTCACAGTGGCCTCCTAGATGCCATGAATCTGCTCCCGCTCCCATGACCACAGCTGTTTGGACTAACTGGGGACAGGTTCCCTGTCTTGGACACTGAGCCTATCACACTCCAATCTCACCCTGGGTTGAATTATTTCATAGGGAAATAATTATTTAGTGTGCGTGTGGTGGGGGCTGGATGTAGGGAGAGGGAGAGAGCTCACTCAACATGGTGTATGTTTGGAGATCAGAGGACAGCAAGCGGGAGTGGTTCCTCTCCTTTCCATTGTGAGGACTCTGGGGATTGAACTCGGGTCCTTGAGCTTGGCAGCAAGCACCTTTATCCATGGACCCATCTTGCTTCCTCGGCCTGCTGATTTCTTGAATGGAGGAGAGAGGTCTGTAAGTATTATGTCCATAAGAAAGGGAGCAAGGTATTAACAACACAGTTACCCTCAGGGGTAACTGCTAGCCCAGTGGTAGCTTCCCATTGCTGCCTTCAAGACTCATAGGAAGTCCAAATGCATTCCTGGCACTGGTTTTGTTTTAAGGCATATGTCCCAGGCTGGCCCCAAACTTGCTATATAGCTGAGGATAACCCTGAACTCCGGATCCTGCTGCCACCATACCCAGTTTTGTGGTGCTTGGATTGAGCCCAGAATTTCATGTATGCTAGGTAAGCACTCTGCCTGCCCACTGACCTACATTCCTACCTGTCAGGCCTTTTATTTTGAAAGCAGGTTAAAATTAGACCCAATGCAGCCACAGATGAACACTGACCTTGGGCAACGTCATGTTAGCCTCTGGATCCCAGTTTATTCTTCTCCAAAGCAATGGTTTGAGCTCTGACTTCTATGGTCCTAATGAGTAAAATGTATGACTTTTCCTGTTCTATCTCTGTAATTTTTTAAATTACTTCCAATTCAATTGCTTAAATTTGCTTAAATTACTTCCAATTCAATTGTTCTTTAAAAATATTTTTAAGCCGGGCGGTGGTGGTGCATGCCTTTAATCCCAGCACTTGGGAGGCAGAGTCAGGTGGATCTTCTGTGAGTTTGAGGCCAGCCTGAGAAAGGCACAAAGTTACAACAGAGAAATCCTGTCTTGAAAAACCAAAAAGAAAAAAGAAAAACCAAACCAAAGCAACCACCACCACCACCACCAATAAAAATTCCTATTCTTAACTATTCTTAATTTTAGAAACAAATAAGCTGCATTTTGTATTTAAAAACAACTACAATTTGCTCACTTCATTCCCATGGTTGGCTTCTAGTATTGACTACTTAGAATAGGTCAGAATCACTAAGGAGAAGTTCAGTAAATGCTCTCTCTGCCTGACACTATCCTAAACAGATCAGTGTCCATGAACCCGAACACCGTCTTTTAAAGTGCTCAGCTTGAGCTGGCAGGATGGCTCAACCTGTCAGGTCATGTGCCACCAAGCCTGATGACCTGAATGATCCCCAGAAGCCACCTATAGGGAAAGACACAATGGACTCCTAAAAGTTGTCTCCTGACCTCCACATGTGTGTGTGGCACTTGCATGTATGTACTCGCACACATAATAAATAAACGTAAAAGAACCCAGCACTCTCTCCCATCTCACTGTGTCCATCAGGGGAATGGGCACAGAGCCATCAAATACCCTGTCCAAGTAGTAACTAGTTTGCTCCGGGGTTTGGATACTAACGGCCTTCATTTCAGAACCCACACCCTTAACCACTACACCATGTATTTTTCAAACACTGGGCTACAGTACTGCAACCCAGCAAGAGACCTCCCACCAACTCTATGTCACCCCTAAAACCATCGGTGGTCTTTGTTTTAGTAAATCTCCAAATCTGGCATCAAAGTTCCCTCCAGAGAACAAGCAAAATTGATTTTAAAAACAAAACAAAACAACAACAACAACAAAACAAAAACTTACCTCTCGGCTGTCACAGCAAAGTGTCACAAACTGGATAACAACAATGCCATTGCCTCACTATTCTGAAAGATAAAATCCCAGATCAGGTGCCAGCTGGGCTGACACCTCCTGAGGGCTAGGAAAAGGAGCCTGTTCTAGGTTCTCCCCCTAGTTTCTGGGGGTGTCTTGGTTTGTCGGGTCACCCAGCCCATGTCTTCATCTTCCTAAGGCATTCATCTGTGCTCACGTCTTGCCTAAGTGTCTCCATTTCTAAGGACATTAGCTGTGAGCTCCTCGAGGCACATGGGTGGCCAGCGCCTCTCCCCACCCCCTCCATCCCCCCCACCCCCTCCACCCCTCCCCACTCCCTCCACCCCTCCCCACCCCCGCACCAGGACCTCCAACTGCCAAGTTCCACCCACAGAACACTAACTGCCCTAATGGCTGACCACGCCCCCCCACCCTTCAGAGTAAAAAGCCCACGCTCTGGACTTGAAATCCCACCAATCCCCATCCTGGGAAGCTTCACCCTGAAAAGGTCCACCCCCACCCCCAAGACACTCTATACAAACCTGCCCCTTCTGCTCAGTTCCCTGCTGTTTCTCGCTTGAGCAGAGGCAAACACGTTGGTTTTTTTCCCTCCCAATAAATGTGTGAGGTTTGTTGTGTGGTGTGACTTTGTGGTATTCCTTGGCTCCCGACTGCCAGGATACCTTTCCATCTGAGCTGTAACGCTTACATCAGCCATTGTAGATTAGGGACCTCTTCTAACCCGGGATTGCCTCATCTAAATTAATTGCATCAGAAATGACCCTGTTTTCGAAAGGACACATTCTGAAGTACCTGAGAGTTAAGAATTTAACATATGGTCTTTGAGTTTGAGGCCAGCCTGGTCTACAGAGTGAGTTCCAGGACAGCCAGGGCTACACAGAGAAACATTGTCTCAAAAAACAAAACCAAATAAACAACAAAAACAAAAAGAATTTAGCAGGTGAGCTGGAGAGAGAGCTCAGCAAGAGTACAGCCTCTTGCAGAGGCTTCCACCGCTGCCAAGCTCCAATAGCAATTTTCAATAAGTAATCCCTCTTCCATCAAACAAGTGGAACCTTGCTTCTAAGATAGACCAACAACAGCCACAGCTTCTGAGCTTTGGTTTAGCACCCGAATTTTATTGCCACCACTTCAAGAAGGACCAACTACAAGGTCTCTGGAAAAATAAAATTCAGATCAGGGCCAGCCGGTGGTGGCGCACGCCTTTAATCCCAGAGCTCAAGGAGGCAGAGCCAGGCAGATCTCTGTGAGTTCCGAGGCCAGCCTGGTCTACAGAGCGAGTTCCAGGACAGGCACCAGAACTACACAGAGAAACCCTGTCTTGAAAAACCAAAAAAAAAAAAAAAAAAAAAAAAAATCAGAATACTGACATCTAGGCTAGTCAAGGTGGCACATGACTTTAAGCCCACAGTTGAGAGGCAGAGGCAAGCAGACCTCTGTAAGTTCCAGGACAGCCAGGGCTATGTAGAGAAAATACTGACATCTAAATGATACATGAGATGCAGTGGTTACTCATGTGAACTCTGCCAGCCACTTGCTCTCAGTAAGGCAAGGCTTTTTCTTTTCCTGCTTTCTCTTTTTGGTTTCTCAAGAGAGGGTTTCTGACTGTCCTGGGACTCACTCTGTTGACTGGGTTGGCCTTGAACTCAGAGATCCATCCGCTATTTGAGTGCTGGGATTAAGGGTGTATGACACCACAGCCAAGCAAGGCTTTTTCTTTTTAAATTATTTATTTATTTTTATTTTATGTACACTGGTGTTTTGCCTGCATGTATGTCTGTGTGAGGGTGTCAGAAGTCCTGGAACAGGAGGTAAAGACAGTTGTGAACAACCATGTGGATGCTGGGAATTTAACCCAGATCCTCTGGAAGAACAGCCAGTGCTTTTTTTTTTTTTTTTTTTTTTTTTTTTTTTCGAGACAGGGTTTCTCTGTGTAGCTTTGCTCCTTTCCTGGAACTCACTTGGTAGCCCAGGCTGGCCTAGCCAGTGCTCTTAATCACTGAGCCATCAATCCATCCCCAGCTTTTTTTTTTTTTTTTTTTTAATTTTCCTGCATTTTTGTGTCTGTGTGTATGTGATTGAGCCGTGGGGATCCTGCGGAGGTCAGAGGACAACTTGTAGGAACTGGTTCTCTCTTCTTACCGTGCAGGCCCCAAGGTTCACACTCAGGTAGTCAGGCTTGGCATTAAGTACCTTCACCCCTGAGCCATCTCATCAACCTCTTTTTTATTTATTTTAAAGGTTGAACAAGAAATGTTTAAATGGCCAGGCAGTGGTGGTGCACACCTTTAATCCCAGTACTTGGCAGGCAGAGGCAGGTGGATGTCTGTGAGTTCGAGGCCAGCCTGGTCTACAGAGTGAGTTCCAGGACAGGCACCAAAACTACACCGAGAAACCCTGTCTTCGAAACCACCCCTATATAGTGATATTTTATTTGTACTGAAATGTGATTTGTATGTTAATAAATAAAGTTGCCTGGGGGTCAGAGCTATTAACTTACTTGAATCAGTCTGACTGTCTGTCTAGTCCAGGATGACCTCACACGTGTTATGCAGCTGAAGATGACCACATAAATCTGGTCCTCCTGCGTCCCGCTCTAAGTGCTGGCTCACAGGTCTACTAGATTGTAGATCTGGTAAAGTCAATGAGGAGAGCAAGACCAACAGCTCTTTTTTAAAACTTTCTCTTTTGAATCAGGGCCTCACGATGTAGCCGTGGCCAGCCCGGACTCAGAGATCCTCCTGCCTCTGCCTCTTGAGTTCTGCCATTAAAGGCTTGTGCCACCAGAGCCGGCCCTTTTACATTTATTGAGTGTGTATGTGCGTGCATGTTCATGCCACGGTGCACACACGGAGGTCAGAGGATAACGTGTAGGAGTCAGTTCTCTCCTTCCATCATATGGATTCTGGGCATCTCACTCAAGTCCTCAGGCTTGATGCCAAGAGCTCTTAGCCACTGAGCCACCTCACTGACCCTATCAGCAGCTCTTTTAATGGACCACCATTCACTGTCTACCTCAACTACAAATTAGTTCCAACTGACTTTGAACATTTTCACTTCAGACATGTTTGAAACTGAGATCACTACCACCCAGCCAGTTCCTCCTTTTCAGCTCCCTGTTTTAATGAAGAACAGGCCCTATAATCAGCTGATCACAGCAAGAATGTTTTGCTCTTCATGTACAAATAGTGTCCACTGACCTTCCTATTCTTTTTTTTTTGGCGGGGGGTGGAGGGTAAGGTGTATAGGTGGATGTTCATGTGTGCATGCATGTATGTTTGTCTTGGCTAGATTTGTCAACGTGACATAAGCTAGTCGCCTGGGGAAACGGATTCAGAGTTGAGCAAATGCCTCCATTAGATTTGCCTATAGATGCTTGTGGTGCATTTTATTGACTAGTGATTGACATGGTGGTGCCATCCCTTGGTCCTGGATGATATAAATAAGCAAGCTAAGCAGCCTATAATGGAGCAAGGTAGCCAGCAGAGTTCCTCCATGCCTCTGCTTCACTTCCTGCCCCCAGGTTGCTGCCCTGGCTTCTCCTCAGCTGGGACTATATACTTTTAGTAGAAATAAACCCTTTCCTCTCCAAATTGTTTTTGGTCACGGTGCTTACCACAGCAACAGAAAGAGTAAGAAAGCAGTGTAGGCCAGAGGTCAATGTTGGGTGTTGTCTTGTGTTGTTTTCCACCTTCTTTTCTGAGACAGGGACTCCCACTGGACCTGGACCCCAAAGATTCAGCTAAACTGGCTGGCCAGTAAGCCAAGGGATTCCCCCCCCTCCCCTGCCCGGCAGCACTGGGGTAACAGGTATGTGCCACTGAGCCCAGCTTGTGGTGCTCAGGACTGCTTCTACAGCAAACACTACAACGGAGCCATCTCCCCATCCCCTCAGAAATCTCAACACATCTCTCCTTCACATCCTTAGTCGCCTTGGTTAGGTCCGTCATTTCCCGTTCGGATCGCCGGTTACTTTTTGCAGATGGAACTCACAGGTCATGGGTCATGTCCGGACCCTGTGCAAACCTTTGAATGAGACAAGATAAACCCAAAGCTCTCTTGGTTTGGGAGCTGTGACCTGGCCTCAATATCCTGGACCTAAACTGCCTGACCACTTGTCCAGCATGCAGTTCCCAGATACTACTTACCTCCCCTCACAGCAGACTGCCATCTGCCTAGAACAGTGGGCTACACTTTCATCTCCTGAGACTACTACACCACTCCAGGGTTGGAGCATTGATGCTCCTCCGCCACACGGGACCCATGCTTCCGTCCATTAAGGCCATGATTCTTTTGGTATTACGGCCACCCTCACACCTACCATCGGGAGCAAGGGCGGAACAGCGTTGCTGCTGCTAGTTCTGTTCTTCTCCTCTTTCTATTTATATCCACAGCAGCTGGCGAGAGAGAGCCCGGCGTGTGGTGGGTGCTACAAAATATTTAATCAATTCTGAGTTGACTTTTCTGATTTTTCCATTCTTTCTAAGTTTGAGGAGGTGGCTAACAGCAGGGGGGTTGGGGAGACCTTTCACGACACCAGAAGCCACAGCTCAACTACAGCCACGTAAAACACGCAAAAAGTGTGGCCTAGGGAATCAACAACACTTCCACGTGGTGAATGCACAGTGCCGAAGCTCGCTGGAGTCTGTGCTTGAAAGGGTGGGCGGGCAGCACTCAGCTGCCTCTGAACACTCTGTGCAGCCAGCCTGTCGCCTTTCAGTGAGTGATCATGAGTGCACACCTTCCTTCACCACTCGGGGATCCTTGGCTAGAAAGGATTATCACCTTTGGCTTCTGAAGAGAACTGTCACTAACAATTTTCATTCCCATCTTTTTTGTTTGCTTTTTGAGACAGGGTTTCCTCTGTGTAACAGCTCTGGCAGCTCTGGCTGTCCTGGAACTCACTCTGTAGACCAGGCTGGCTTCGAACCCACAGAGATCCGCCTGCCTCTGCCTCCCGAGTGCTGGGATTAAAGGTGTGCGCCACCACCGCCCAGCTTTCATTCCAATCTTAAAGCCTTCTTTCCTTCAAAAGTGAAGATGTGCCACAACTATAGTTTTTATAGTAATTAATAAGTAATTATAGGCACATCTGTAATCCCATTACTCTGGAGACACAGGCAGAAGGATACAATTTCCAGACCAGCCTGCTCCATTCCCTAGTGAATCCCTATCTCAAAAACAGAAACAGTGACTCAGACAAATGCTGCATCTCCATCATGTGCTGAGTCCAGACTTCAATGCACACACAGGACATCAAAGCAGAGGGCTGGAGGGAGCATGGAGGTAATGGGAAGGATGTGACCACAGTGCATGGTATACAGATGAAAGCAGCGTAACAACCCAGCATTCTTACAATGAACACATGCCAACAGAGGAGCACAGAAAACACTCTCCTTAAATACAGATTGGGGAAGGAAGCGAGTCAGCCACGTTAAAATGAAGATGTCTAGCCTACTCCCATTATAACAGGCTTAGAATTAAACTTTGGACATTGGCATTTTGTTATTTGTGGTACTAGGGATTGAACCCAGGGCCTTCTGCATACTAGACATGCACTCTACCACTGAGCTATATCCCTAGGCAGACATTAGCTTTTTTAAAAAAAAGATTTACTTTTACATTTTGTCTGCAATACGCATGCCCTTGTGTGCCACAGCCTGTATGTGAAGGGTAATTTTTGGGAGTCGGCTCTCTCCTTCCAGTTACGTGGGCCCTAGAGATCACACACAGGCCACAGGGTTTGGTGGCCAGTGCCTTTACCTGCTGAGCCATCTTGACCGCCCAAGTTTAAACTTTTTATTAGGAAGCTAAGGGAAAGCAGCCATCCCAGCCGGGTGGTGGTGTCGCATTCCTCTAATCCCAGCACTCGGGAGGCAGAGCCGGGTGGATCTCTGTGAGTTCAAGGCCATCCTGGTCTACAGAGTGAGTTCCAGGACAGACACCAAAACTACACAGAGAAACCCTGTCTCGGGGCGGGGGGGGGGACGGACCTGCAAAACAGCCATCCCTGTACCCCAAATGAGAACACAATATTCTATTTTCTATTCTAAACAAGTCTGAAATCTACACCAAGAACTAGAAAGCCATTTTATCAGTGTTTCTGAATAAGGAGGAGTGGCCCAAAAGCCCTGGCAAAAACTGCTTCATTTGCTCAGACTTGCATCCTGCGCCTCCCTGCTCCACCTGGATTACACACAGAATTTCTCTCATCTGTTTTTCTTGTACTTTGGTCTGCGTATTTAGAAGTGCTTTAGTTTTTCTTCCAAATTCTTCTTTCTCACAGGAAATACATGAGCCCCTGTTTACCAGGCTTAGAGACTGGACACAAAGACAATGAGCTCATCCGAGATGCTGTATTAGTGCAGGGAGCTAACACAGTAAATGAGCAAGCTGTAAAGCCACAAAGCTTGAGTCAAGTACGCATTAAAAACAAAACCAGGGAGACTGCAAGGAAGGAGAGACGCCTTGAGGGAGGAGAGGAAAATGTTATAAGGGCAGCATCTGGGTTGGGCATGGAGAGCGACTGTTCATTCCTTAAAATGATTAAAAGGCACAGAAGTGATCAAGTCAGTTGTAATTTCTGTAATTTCTGTGCCGTTTATCAAACTTCCCAATCAGATCAGACCCAAGAGGCAGGAGATACCTGAGCCCCGAGCCGTTCAGATGCTCAGCTGCACCCAGCAAGTTTGCTTCAGACGCACTGTCAAATCTGTATTTAAGCTCATTTGAGAAAAAATGAGAGATGAAATAAATGGCTTGACATTCAAAAGTCAACAATGAAAAAATAATGCAACTATGAAATGACATCTACTACCACACAATTCCTTGTATGAATTTTTAATGAATTATGAGCCAATGAACATTACAGAATTAAGTCTTAATATTTCTTCTTTCCTATGAAAAACCAGACAATTGTAACAGCCTATCTCAAGTAGGACAGGAGACCATAGTGAATCCGAGGAGGAGTAATTAACTTCAGTTCCACCCATGCATGCTTCCTCAAAGAACGACACGAGAGCTCCCGCGGCAGCAACAAATTCAATTACACATGTTTTCCTGATCGCAGCTGCAGTGGAAACAGAACAGCGGCTCGCCTCTCAGCAGCCTTCCACCCACACCACCAGGACTCAGTGTTTTCTCTTGGACCCTCTGTATCCCTGTGAGGTAGTGAGGGGAGCAAGGACTTCCTACTTTGCAGATGAGGAAAGTCTAGGTGAAGTTCGGCACAACTGCTCTCAACCCCTGGCAGCATTCTGAAACCAGCAGGACATTTTTAAATCCTTATGGTCAGAACATATCCCAACAACACCAGAATCAGGGTTATGGGGCCCATGCTTACATATTTTTTAAGCTACTCCAAAATCCAGCCAAGCTGGAGCAGCACTGATTTAGGTGATATGCTCAGTCTTCAGGTGCAAATGTTTCTTCTACATGCTTTCTAAGCACCAATGGAAACAGGGCCTTCTTCAACATGGAGCAGTTTGCCTTAATGATCTCCACAGCCACTACAGGGCTCTAGTAACAAACAGACCCAGCTATAAATGAAGGCTCTCCATTCTCCTGACGCTCATCCTAACTAGGAACACTCGATTTTTGACCTAAGAATGGCGGCATACACCTGTATTCCCAGTATTGGGAAGGCTGAGGCAGGGAGATCACTGTGAGTTCAAGGAGGCTTGAACTACATATCGAGAATCAGTCTTAAAAAATCAAAAACAAAACACAGAAATAGCTTGGCGTTCAACAGTTAGGCAATTATCTGATTTTAGGTTCAATAAGGAACGAATAACCATGGGATTCTGTTTTCCAGTGAGCACCGTCAGAATGTTGTTACAAATTAACATTTATGACAAGACAAAAACAAAGTTATAAGCCAAACTCATGGGCAGCTCAACAACTGTCACACCTGAAGATGCAGCAAGTACTTAAGGACCGCCACCACCTCTCCACTAGTCCTCTCCATCCTTAACCAGGTCTTTAACCAAACTTGACTACCACCAAACAGTTGTTCTAGACCAGAAAACAAAACAAAAACAAAACAAAACAAAAACAAAAAGCCACAACATTCCCTGGGCCAGCTGTCTTCCCCAATACGTTTAACATTTAATTCCACTTTGTACAAAGTTTCTTCTCGATACAGATTATAAAAAAAGAATCTTTAACAAATTTCTCTTTTTCAAGCAACACAGCAAATACACAATCAATACCTGTAACCCTTTCAAGAGGGGACTACAGGCCTGTCTATGGCTGAAGCCTCCTGCTTCCTAGCAATATTGATAAGTTTAATTCTCAAGGACTCCAAGAACCCCAGCAAGCTGCTCGCTGTCCCTAATTTTATTAGATTTAAAACAAAATATACATACAGCAGTCATGTAAAAAGTACAAAGATTTTACTTGCCTTCATCAATTCTTATGTATCTGAGCCATATTAATTATACTTTCATACAGAAAGGTGTTTCTGTTGTAACAAAAGAAAAAAACAAACCCTCAGCTCATGTGTGTCGAATTATTATTCCAGAGCATCAGTGAGAAGGTTTATGGGTCAAAAGAGGAAATAATGTTCAACTCTTTCCAATGACTTTCTAATTGTTGCCAACCTAGGTTTTCAGCGTTCAGTCCCAGGGGGCAATACCTAGGTGATTAAGAACACTCTTAACCAGGGTTTGGGATGGCACTGTTTCAGATGGGTGAGTAAACATTTTGTTGACAGCCCCAGTGGAGACTTTGAGGCTCCAATTGTTGTATAATGTAAACAATATGAAATTAAAAATTATTCATAACATCTACAGCATTATAAAGTTAGGAAATAAAAGAACCGTTGACTATGTGTTCCCCTGGGGTTTATACTAACAGCGCTCATACTGAGGACTGTAAGAGCAGCTGGGACTGTTCGGTGTGGAGACCAGTTTTCCCAGAGGACCAAAAACTGAAGCCAGATGCCAAGAGACGCACATTCCTATTACGTCTGCAACAGCCCTTGCTGGCAATGCATAATTATAAGTAGATCTACTTCCCCAGTCTTTAGCCAACCGAGGAACCTTTGCCATAATTCTGTTACAGCCATGGACTATAAGCCCCAAACACAAATGAGCTAGTACAACGTGTCTCCTCTTTCTGTTTGTGTTACCCTACTGTCCCCAAATGTCACTCTAATTTTGTACCATGTAGTGATATTTAAGAAACTGAATTAGAACAAAGAAATCCCTTTGTCCTTTTTGTTTTTTTAACAGTTTTTACACACATTATATATACAACTTTTAAAATAGCTGCACAATTTTATTTCTCATTGCTAGAGAAGTGCAGTCCAGGCAGACCATGCTTCTCAATATATTAAAAATATTAAATAAAACCCAGCCAGTTTCATACTTTCTAAGTCAAGCTGGCTAGAAGTAAAGGGACTGGAGGAAGAACAGGCAGTTGTAAGATGGGATTGAACCTTCTTCATAAAACCACATCCGATCCTGCGGTTCCCTTCTACAGCATCTCTGAACCTCACCTTTAAGCTGGAAGTAACTCACTGCTAACTTAGAGAAGAGTCTGTGGCAACATGCATGTGTCAACTACCCACTCAACCAACTGCAACCCTGAGGATTTTTCTGGCCCAGTGGAAAGAGGAAACACTAAGATCATCTCTGTTGTACAGCTGCTTCTCCGGTTCTCCACTTCATGTGTTTTCGGGATGTTTCTTGGGCATGCACACATGACACTATCACTTCATGGTTCTACTTTCCATAAGTAGATCTCTTCTCCACTGTCCGTCTTCCCAGAAAGCCACTGTCATCCATCCAAAGGTTTCCCAAGGTAAACCAAAGTCACTTCTGTGTTGCCATATACAGCAGACACTGCTGGGTATAAGCAGGCCTTCGGAAGTCCTCGGAAGGCAACTCCCAGGAACTCATACCCACGCTCAAAAGCTAAAGTCTTATCTTCCATGTCCAAGATGACCCGGATTCTCTCTCCTATCTGCAAACAGACATCACAAGGTTAGCAGGGTATCCACAGAAGCACGGCCAGAAGAAAGAGGATACAGATGAGAAAGTGGAAAAAGCACAAAGGCTCTGTATCTTCTAACTTATCTCTGCAATCGACAGGGGACTTTCTGGTGGCAGGTAAGCACCAGAAGAAGGGACACACATCATTTTCAACACAAGTGCTTATTTAGATCATTTTTAAAAAAGATTCACATGGGATCTACACTAGTTACTTTAAATTACTCTTTGCTCAAAGCCTTTTCTTAAGGAAGTTAACACTACTATATAACTTGGCACATTTTACCAAAAGGATCTTTCTAAATAACTTCCTCATATTGCTGCAATATATACTAAATAAAATATTAAATAGCCAGAAAAATAAATGATATTTTTGTTTGATTGTTTTGGTTTTTCAGGACAGGGTTTCTCTTTGTAATAGCCCTGGCCATCTTGGAATTTGCTCTGTAGACCAGGCTGGCCTCGAACTCAGAGATGTGCCTGCCTCTGCCTCCCGAGTGCTGGGATTAAAGGTGTGCATCATCACTGCCTGGCAAGAAATGAAATTTTGATACATGCTACAAGCTTGAATGAAACATGAAAACCAACATTAAGTAGAATAAGGCAGCTAGAGAAAGCTAAGTTTGTGACTCCATTAAGTATCTAGAAAGATCCCAGAGACAGGTAGATCAGAGGTTAACGGGGGTGGGGAGCAGGGGTGTGGAGGCTGTTTAGTGACGAGAGCTTATGCTCAGGGCCAAGAAAAACTTCTGGGGGCTACAGAAATGGCCCAGCAGTCCAGAGCACAGGCTGCTCTTGCAAAAATCCCAGATTTGGTTCCCAGCACCCACTACGGTAGCTCACTACCCTCTGTTATGCCAGTTTCAGAGATCTAACACGCTCTTCTGAACTCTGCAGCACCGGTTACACACAGGATGAACTTCCATATATTCAGGCAAAACACTCATATGAAATACAATTGTGAAAATCTAACCCCTCCCCAGACAGGGTTTCTCCGTGTAACAGCCCTGACTGTCCTGGAACTCAGAGATCCCCTGGCTTCTCCCTCTGGAGTGCTGGGACTAAAGGTGTGCACCTGCGCCACCATGCCTGGCTTTAAGAAGGAACAGCAACACTGACTGTTTAAAGTGCAAACTCAATACATTCAGCTCTTCACTCATTCTGAAAAGTAAAACAGTAAGACTGTGTCATCTTTATAGCTTGCATCCATGAAAGAATGCTGCACTTGTGTGCTGAAAGCGGAGAGGACTGGCCACAGAGCTCCCGACAGAATGCTTGCCTAGCACACAGGAACCCCTGGGTCGATCCCCAGCACTACATACCTGCCAGCACCTGGGAGGTGGAAGTCATCCTTGGCTACACAGTGAGACCACAGCCAGCCTAGTTACATGAGCTCCTGTCTCCAAAGTGGGTAAAAGGTGTATAAAGTCCTGAGATTCATAACCGAGACTCAATCCTCCCTGATTATGGTAACTCTGCTGTTGTTACTGACTTTCCACCATTTATCTCCTGTCATGAGGGACTGTCACCATCTGCTATGACCCACTCTTTGCTCAATTCAACCACTGGCATGCCCTGTGCTGCAGTCCTCTAGATCTTCTTCACCTGCCAACCAAGTACCAACAGCCACTCCTGTTCTGTCGAGTGACACCGTCTGCTGTCCTGGGCGTCCTCCCGTCTCTCTCAGGAATTAACCCTGTTTTGCAGCAGATGAAGAAGACACAACTCATCCTGCTGAAATTCACACGTCTGCTTCACCTTGAAACACGCCACAGGTGTGTTCACAGTCAAGGGACTGAAAAGCACATGCCTCGCTAGTGCTGGTGTCAGTGGGTAAAACGTGGGTGCAGGCCAGGTGGTATTGGCATGCACCTTTGATCCCAGCACTTGGGAGGCCGAGGCAGCTGGATCTCTGAGTTCAAAGCCAACCTGGTCTACAGGGTGAGTTCTAGCACAGCCAGAACAAAACTGTGCTGTGGGATGTTCTGTATGTTAAATGTGTTGCTCTGATTGGTTAATAAATAAAAGACTGATTGGCCAGTAGACGGGCAGGAAGTATAGGCAGGACAAGGAGAGAGGAGAATTCTGGGAAGTGGAAGGCTGAGGCAGGGAGATGCTGACAGCTGCCGTGATGAGAAGCAACATGTGAAGATACCGGTAAGCCACGAGCCACATGGCAACTTATAGATTAATAGAAATGGGTTGATTTAAGCTATAAGAACAGTTAGCAAGAAGCCTGCCATGGCCATACAGTTTATAAGCAATATTAAGTCTCTGTGTGTTTACTTGGTTGGGTCTGAGCGGCTGTGGGACTGGCGGGTGAGAGAGATTCGTCCTGACTGTGGGCCAAGCAGGATCAGAAAAACTCTAGCTACAACACTGTCTCTAAAAACAAACAAAAATGTGGATGGCAGAACAACCAGACACCATGGAAAGGAGCAAAAGACGGGAGCATCCAGATCTGAACACGAGCTCCACCGTGTGAGCTCCACATGTGGTCCATGTGAGACCACAGAGACAACATGGGCACAAAAAGCTCCCAGCAAAGTGGACTAAGAAAGCAGAGAGGCTGAGAAGACCAGAGCCAAAAACTGCTGCTGCATACCACAGGGGCATGAAGTTTGCAGCCCTGAGTTCTGGCAAATTAACTGTCTGCCATTACGAGAAAACCTATGCACACCAAAGAATAAAGCAGTTTCTACAAAAAGACAACATTCTAGGGTTGATAGTCCATCTTACCCACACGTGCAATTTTCAATTAAAAAAAAAATCACTAGGATAAAATAGGAAAAGTATGATTCTCAAAGTGATGGGAAATCAAAAGAAACTGACTTGCTGGGCAGTGGAGGTGCACGCCTTTAATCCCAGCACTCAAGAGGCAGAGCCAGGTGGATCTCTGTGAGTGCGAGGCCAGCCTGGTCTACAAAGTGAGTTCCAGGACAGCCAGGGCTATACAGATAAATCCTGTCTTGAAAATCAAACAAACAAACAAAATTGACTCTTACCTAGACATAGATTTTCTAATTCAACAAAGAATTCAAAGTATTTACAGTTATTATGTGCATATACATATATGTATATGTAACTGTGAAATGCAATTAAATAATATATATGCACTAAGATATTACAGCCATCCTAAATATGTCCAAAGAATGAATGAAACAGGAAATCCCAATACAGAAATGGACACAGAAAAAGAAACCAAATGAAATCTAAATCTAAAGCATACAATAACCAGGACTCATTAGCCTGGTTCAACAAGTTGAGATGGTAGAATAAATTGGCAGTGGACACGAAGCTAGAGCAAGAGAAATTATGCAATCAAAGAAGACAGGGTGCCAAGCATGGTGACGTACACCTTTAATTCCAGCAACACGGAGGCAGAGGCTGGTGAATATCTGTGAGTTCCAGGCCAGCTAGGGATATATAGTGAGATCCTGTCTCAAAAACAATAAAAAAAGAGAAACAAAGGTTGTGGATGAAGAATAAAAGGATCATAAATTAAGGGACACAAAGATACTACTAAGCAGTCAAACAACTATAATGTGTGTAAACGGACTAAACTCTTAAAAGACAGACTGTAAAATGCTTTTAAATAAAGACGACTCAACCACATACTATTTAGGGATCCCACTTTAATAACAAGATGAATCAAAAGCAAAAGGCAGGACGGATGCTTTGTAATAGTGCTCCACACAAACCTGGAGTGGCTATGTTAACGTCAGATAATGCAGACTCAAACACAGGAATATTGGTAGAGTCAAAGGTCACTTGTAATGATAAACAGGGAAATTTAATAATTAGAGCCCTTAAGTGTCCGAAGCAAAAACTGATAGACCCAAAAGAAAAATAGACAAGCTAGAGAGCACAGCTGGAGACTTCAACAGTCTTCTCAGTAAAAGAACAAAGAGAAGAACCAGTAACAATATAGACGACTTAAATCCTATCAGTCCATTTGACCTATGATTTCCAGAATAGTCCATTTAAGAACTGGCTAAACTAGTAAAAGCCAGGCAGTGGTGGTGCACACCTTTAATCTCAGAAGTGCACGGGAGGCAGAGGCAGGTGGATCTCTGAGTTCAGGGCCAGCCTGGTCTACAGAGCAAGTTCCAGGACAGTTAGGGCTATGTAGAAAAACTCTGTCTCAAAAACCAAAAAAACAACAACAAAACAGACAAGGAAATGATGTTATGAAGGTAAATCCTTCCAGCTTTTGCATTTCAAGAAATGGATATATATTTTACCTTTTACATTAGTGTGCCACAGCTGATAATTTTATTATCATATTTTTTATGTGTATAGTTCTTTTACCTGAACGTATGTACGTCTGGGCATCATTTGCATGGCAGTGCCTGTGGAGGCCAGAAGAGGGCATCAGATCCTTGGGAACTGGAGTTCTAGAGAGTTGTGAGCAGCCATGGATGCTGGGAATTGGACCTGGGTCCACTGGAAGAGCAGCTAGTAGTGCTCTTAATCGCTGAAGCATCTTGCCAGCCTCTGAAAGCATTACTGAAGCTAGATATTTTAAACTACATGTGGCTCCAAAATATGAAATCTATAATCCATCAAGACTTCTGCTTTGGGAATTTTTTAAAATGCTATTTTTTAAAATTGTGTGGTTATGTGTGTGCACAAATGTTTGCAGTTCTGACAGAGATCAGATAAGGGAGTTGAAGCCCTTGGAGCTGGAGTTACCAGTAGTTGTGAGCTGCCCAAGGTAGGTGATGGAAACTGAACTCTGGAAAAACAGCAGATACTCTTAAATACTAAGACAACTCTCCAGTACAATTTTTGGAATCTTGTGGTTGTTTTATCCTCGGTGGAATCTATAATAATATGGCTTTAAGACACAAGCATTGTAATTTTAATTCTAGAATCAATGAATGCAATACATTAAGATGGAAGGATATGGGTGGAGAGGTGGCTCAATAGTTAAGAACACTGCCTACTCTTCCAGAGGACGCAGCTTCAATTCCTAGCACCCACATGGTGGCTTACAATGTCTGTAACTAAATTCTAGAGGATCTGACATCCTCTTCTGGCTTCCGGGGCACCAGGTACACACATGTACACAGACACAGATGTAGACAAAACACTCACACCCATAAAATAATGTTTAAAAACAAATTTAAGATATGAAAAATAAAGAAGTGGAGCAGTTTGCCTGAACTTGTCTGTCTCTACAGAAAAAACCAGTAACTCTAAGGGCTTTCAATCCATGTATCAGTTAGAAGCAGAGGGTAAATATGCATGCATATGCACATGCATTTGTTGTGATGAGGTAACAAGAAAAAACTGGATGTTTCACGACACAGGGAAGATGACGATCTTGAACATGAACCAACACACTGTAGCCCCTGAGTCAAACTGGTCCTGTAGCTCATAAATGAGGTCTTCTGAAGCACAGCTATGCTTCCTTATTCACATTATGTATGTGAGGTGATGCTTTACCAATAGAGCTGAAGGTGTTCCTGAGACAACATGAACAGCAAAGCCTAAAATGTTTACTCTTTGGCCCTGTACAGAAAAAGTTTGGCAACCTCTGACCCAGGACAAAGATGGATTGCTCAAATATGTATTAGGAAACACTGACATATAACCTTCTACCATCTATTTTAAAAATTACTAAAACAAAGACGGAATCCTCTAGTGGCTATATAAAAATGTCTGTTTTGAACAAATTACGGTGTGATTTGAAGTGGCCCACACGGAGAAGCATCATTCCTCACCTGATACTTTGGTGCATTGTTGCACTGTGGAAAACTGCCATTGACTTCCCCGTTATGTAGTAGATTATTGTCCACCAGATTCCAGCCCCAGCTCTGGTCATCACTCCCCAGCAATGCCACGTAGCCTTGGCACTGCATAGGGGCCCGCTTCGTAGCGATTCCTATCACTGCCACAGTGCCCAAAGGGCCCTCCCACCACACTTCCCAGGCGTGGCGGCCCTCACTGAACCCAATCTTGGTCCTTGCACCATCGGTGCTCTGGGCGATGGGGTTCCGATGTAATGTAAAGCCATTCTTCTTGATATAGACGTTCCTGGAGCAGTCATTTGTGCTGAAGGCATGTTGGAAAGCACGTACCTAAAAACGTGAAAAAACAAACCGAAAGAATACACTTGATTTCTTTCTTAAATATTAAAATTAAAATGTAGCAAGCTAAATGCAGTGGCTCACACCTGTGATCTCAGCTCTCTGGGATGCTAAAGCAGGACTGAAAGTTCAAGGCCAGCCTGGACTACTTAGCAAAACCCCATCTCCCTCCCCTCCCCCCAAAACCAAAAAAACCAAAAAATTTGAGGCTTTGTGTTTACAAATAATAAGATTATAAACTTTTAAATAACACACTATTTCCAAATAATGAATAAAGCTTCTGGATGGGAAACCAACATTAAATATTGTATCTCATTAAAAACAACTCCCAGCTAGAGTTAGGCTGGTAACACACGCCTACAGTCCTAGCTACTCTAGATCCCTTGACCAGTTTAAGATGAATACAGGAAACAGAGAAACCCTATCTAAAGAAAGGGAGGGAGCAATCCAACTGTCTTACTGACCAAACTCCAAACTGTAGTATAATTTCCACAAGTAAATTTGAAACATCAAAACACACACACAACTATCCTTGTACTTTTTTTAGAGATAGTACTGAAATGTTTATGCATAAAATAATGATGCATGGTAATTGCTCTGAAACAGCCAGAGGCAGAGTAAACATGAAACTAGACGTCATGAGTCACTGGTAAAGCTTGGTGTAGATGGCATATGGAAATTCAGCAAACCACGTTCTTTACTTTTATTTACACTTGATTAAGTGATGCAGTTTCCATGTCATCAATGCTGTGATCAAAAAGAATTACAGCCTAGTTTGACTCTTGCTGTGATCACTGCTAGGAAAGAGGAGGCAAAAGGATCCAAAGTTCAAGGTTATCCACAGCTACATATTAAATATGAGGCCAACCTAGTCTGCATCAGGGCCAACTCATTGGCAGAGTGCTGGCCCAACATATATAAGGGGAAGTGTGTGTGTGTGTGTGTGTGTGTGTGTGTGTGTGTGTGTGTGTGTGTGTGCGCGCGTGCGCGCGCATACTACATGTATTACATAAAATATCTTAGTCATAGCAGCTCTTAAGCTTATGGAAGATTTTAGTGGCCACAAACAACTTTAGATCCTCAGTTTACCTGCTAGGTATTACACACTGACACATCACCACTCTCATACACATCTCCTAGATAGTACACAAATTCAACTGGAAGGACTTAGCAAAGTCAGCCACCAATGGGATAGGTTAGTTGGCCTTTTATAAGTTATTTAATGCTCCTAACATGAAAAGAGTATAAAAATAGCTCCTTTGTACAAATAATGACAAATTCTCAGGTTTTAAAAAGATAAAACTTTCTGGGCATGGTGGCGCATACTTTTAATCCCAGCACTCAGGAGGCAGAGGCAGGCGGATCTCTGTGTTGGAGACCAGCCTGGTTTACAGAGTTCCAGAACAGCCAGGGCTGTTATACAGAGAAACCCTGTCATGGAAAAAACAAACAAACTTGGAGCTAGGTGTGGTGGTGCACCCCTTTAATCCCTACACTTGGCTGTTAGAGACAGACAGATCTCAGTTCTAGGCCAGCCAGGTCTACAGAGCAAGTTCCAGGACAACCATGGCTTCAGAGAGAAATCTTGTCTGAAAAAACCAACATACATACGCACACACGCAATGTTTTTGTTTCTATTTTACTTTAAAAATCCCTTCTTCGTGGCTGGAGAGCTGGCTCAGCAGGCAAGAACACTTGCTGCTCCTGCAGAAGATCTAAGACCAACTCCTAGCACCCACATGCTCTAGTTCCAGAGAACCTAACACACCCTTCTGGTCTCTGTGGGCACTGAACGCATGTGGTGCATAGACATACATGCAGGCAAAACACCCAGACACATAAAATAAAAACACATACATCTTTTTTTCTTGGTCTTTCTGTGAAAACAAAGAGATCTGAGACAAAGAATGAGGTGACAGACCTAAAGGACAACAGCTAGTTCGTGTAGGAGACCCAGAAAAGAGCCAGGGCCCCAGGCCCCAGGCCCCAGACTCCTGTGCCAACACCGCCATTCTCCTGTTTCACTGCTGCCCTGCACACTCACAGTAACTGTTTACCTATCCTGGCTCCATAGGGAAAATGGACAAATGAATTTTTTCCACCTGTTTCTGTATCACTTTAGTTGTGGTGTGCTGTGGTGTGGTGTGTGTATGTGGTGTGTGTGACTGCACACACATGAGATCAGTGCCTGTGGAGGCCAGATGAGCGAATCAGATTCCATGAAACCAGCATTCAGGGAGTTAGTTGCTAGCCGTCTGACAAGGAGGCAGTATGTGTGTGCCCTTAAGCGGAGCTTTTTCTCTAACCCTTCAATACATGCTTTTATCCACCTAAAGAATCAGAACTTAAGAGTAAACAAGGGAGAAAAATATGCACAAGCAAATTTTCTAAATCAAAAGAAGAATAACACGGAAAGAATTAAGTCCCCATGATAATGTTAAATTACTATTTCCTCACAGCTTATTCCACAATTCTTACAAATTCTAGTTGCTTTTTCTCTAAGTTTTCCCTCTGTCACAGTGATATTGACAGCCTCTTCCTCAGCCTATCACAGCTTCCCGTTTTGCTGACCTGATTCTACTGCATTCATTTTTAATGACTCCCTTCCTCTGCCCCATAGAAGCCTACAAACTCAGTCCTTAACCTTCAATTCTTTCCAGAGCTCTTTCTCAAACAGTGTCTTCTCTGACCCTCACGCCAGCTAATAACTTGAGAGCCCCCACATAGCAGCACATCAACTATAAATTCTTTCTGGCTTCAGCGCCTTCCAGAGCAGGCTGATGCACTGCCTATCCCACCTGCCTCGCCCGGCTCCTAGTGCCCTCCATGCTGTCCTCTAACATCACCTCCATGAAGGTCTTCTTAGCCAGGGCCACCAATCCCATCATCCCCCTCTCCCGAATTCCCATTCACTATCGTCTGTACCACACAACACTTGATTATAAGGATCTTGCTTTCTAACATACCTCTGAGCACATGATTCTACTAAATAGTATTTTGCAGAAACAAAAAACAAAAACTAATGTCACCTATATTGGTCAGTGCTCTACATTGTAGAGCATGCAAGAAATGAGAAAGACAGAAGAGCACATTGAGTAACACCATGAGAATGAAATCAGAAACCTAGGACAGTAACAATTACAGGGCAAGAGGTGCAGATGGAATCAATCTGCAGACCCAGATAGCTTAAAAAGACAGCAACTTCTTATCATGAGAACGTATACAGATACTGATTAAATAAACTATAAATTAAACTACAATATTTCACATTTGAGGCAAAACTGCAATGTTGTATTAAATTACTGTCAGTTTCTTTTTAGAGATGACAGTAGTTATCATGATTATGTGTCTTTTTTTTTAAGAATACTGAAAAGTTCATATGAAATGGAAAAATACCCAATTAATAAAGTTTAAGGCCGGATGTGCCTTTAAACCCAGCACTAGGGAGGCAGAGGCAGGCTGATCTCTGAGTTTGAGGCAAGCATGGTCTACAGAGTGAGTTCCAGGATAGCCTGGGCTACACCGAGAAACAAATCCTCTCTTGAAAAACAAAAATAAAACAAAATCAAAGTCAAGTTTCTGTCTAACAACCTAGATTTTCTATTTCAACAGCATTAGTAGAGACCTAGCTTTGGGCTTTTGAGCACAGTTCCCCCTCAGCTCACCAGCGCACCCTCACTCTTCAGAGTACTCTCCTTTTCTCAACAAACTCTCTAATTCTGTTACTAAAATAAAAACAAAGGTAAAGACCTCGCTTAGGATATAAGTCTGAAATTTAGAGAAGTACAGCTGGACGAAGTATTTGGAATAACCAATGCTACTTGGAGACATGTAAAACATGAGCTATAAAAAAGAACGTTTCTGGAAATGGGGTGCAGCTCAGTGGTAGGTGAGTGCTGACCATGCATCCCATGAGGTCCCAGGTTTGAGGCACAGCATGGAAGGAGAGATGAAAGGTAGGGAAGGGAAGGAGGAAGAAAAGGAGGAACCAACTACAGGCTTTTGGTGCCACGCTCTCCTCACCCTGTCCTTCTGTTGCCCAGGCTCCCTGTCAGCGGTCACCTGTGTGGAGCTGCTTTCCCAGTGTGTCCTCCTCTCCTCTCCGTGCCCTCTGCATCTCACACCTGGTCCTCCTAAAGCACAGCTTTCACTTCATCATTCTCCTGTCAGTCTTGTGTGGTTTTTCCAATTGCAGGATAAAGGCCAAACAGTATCTCAAACCCTGTGTTTCAAAAGGCCTTCCAGGATATATCCAGTTCCAGGTTACCTTTACAATCGTATTTCCCTGTCTTTAGCCTAGAGCTTCCCTCTGATCCTTGGCCACCAGGAGCTGCCTGTCGGGAATCTGCTGACATCTCACAGACAATGAACTTGCTGTCACTCCTCTCCACTCTAGCTCAGGGATAGATTATGTAAGCCAGATACCTAGGAGTCATTCTTTGCTCCTCCTCCTTCCTCGTTTCTATTTCAAAACTACTGCCAAATTCTGTAGATTCTTTTTAAGAAATTGTTTGATCCCGCAAATTTCAGAGAATACACAGATAATCCCAATATCTTAATATTCTCTGAGTGAAAAAAATCAATTTTCATGTCTGATGACCTAAAATCCTAGTGCCATACCTAAGGCAATAGGAGGAACAGTCATCAAATTCTGTGGATTCTATTTCCTGTCTGTCCATTCTTTCCATCTCCTTCACTACCTACTTTCTGATAGAACTGAAGGATGTCTAAAGTCCTCTTCCAACCTGTTCTCCATCCTGAAGTCAAAAATAACCTCTTTAAAATACACACTAGTCAAATCACCACCCCCATGTCCATTTTCCCTGCTTACAACTGGAAGCGGCTTCACTATAGTGTGCCCCACTCCTTTTCATCTTAGTCAAAGCAGCATCACCTGCCCTAAGAGCAAGCGCGGACATTCTTTTGCTTCTCGTACCAGTCAGATTCCCTGTAGGCTCTCTGTGCTTCTCTCGGCCTTCTATCCTCACCCTTTAGGTCTCACTGAGTTCATGCATCATGTCTTATAAGAAAGCCTTCCTGACCTCCCGTACCTAATTAAATCCTCCATTACTGACACTCAGAACACCATGTACCTCTCATTCACAGTACTTACCAGATGAAGTTTTACAACTGCAATGATCAGATTAACACCTATTCCCCCAGGCTGGAGATGTAGCTAGCATGTATTCAATCCCCAGTACTGAAAGAGAAACACAGGCAGGCACGCAACATGCGTATGCACATGCCTTCCATAGACTGTAATCACCATAAGGCGAAGTGTTGGTAAGACTGCATTGTTGCTTTTCCTTTATGTTCTTCATAAACTTTTCAAATCCACCTCATCCTAAAGTTCAGCTTAGTATCATCTTAAAGTCAAACCTTTTCTAGTTCTCCACTCAACTCCTAAGTTTTCCCTTCCAGTGAACTTCTAGTATTCCCACACTAAACTAAGGAGCAAGGCGTGCCGTGTGTTAGTTACTTCTATACATTTCCCTCCTTGACCACTCTAAGGACTTCTAGACTCTGAGTCTTCCCTCCTAAATTAACCTTCCATCTTCAAAAGATTCACCTAAAACCAGGATAAGTACAAGTCCACCTTGTAGCTGAAGTACAGATAGCAGAAAGTTAAAGAATTAGAAACTTAAGAAAACTAAAATCTCTCTGGGAAGATACAAAACTAGTATCAATTTAGGTTGCTTCCAAGAGTGAGAAAGGGGTAACAGGGGGACAGCAGGCAAAGGAAGAGCTTTACTTCTACTGATGCTCAGCTCACATGGAGACACTGTTTACTGCACGCTATGTGAATCTCTGTGTATGTGTGTGGTGTATGAGTGTGTGTGTGTAGTGTACTTACCCATGTGTATCAGCCAGATGTGAACACTGGATGGCTTCCTCTTTCGCTCACCACCTTATTTTTTGAGATAGAGTTTCTCACTAACCCTGAAGCTTGCAATTTTGGCTAATCTAGCCTGTCAGGGGCAACCCAAGATCCACTTGTCTCTGGCCTCCAGTGCTGGGTTGCAGATGCGTGCCAGCCTGGCTTTTACAGCCAGCTCGGGAATCTGAACTCAGTTGGTACTCATGCTTACCCAGCAAGCCATTTACCTACTAAGTCGTTTTCCCAGTCCTTTTATCTAAATCTTGACTCAAGTAAATGTAACTATCACAAGTAAATACAAAAAAGTATTAATTTATTTTGTTTTGTTTTTTGAAACAAGGTTTCACTTTGTAGTTCAGGCTAGCCTGGAACTCCCCAAGCTGGCTTCACAATCATTTTGATTCTCCTGCCTCAGCCTCCCAGTGCACCATTATATCAGGTTTAGAAACCTTAAGCTAGACAAAAATAATATATCTTAAGGGAAATATTTTAGATTTTTTTTTTTGAGGAAGGGTCTTACTATGTAGCTTTGGCTAGCTTTGAACTCACAGAGGCCCAATTTTTTAATTTTAAAGTTAAAAACACTGAATATAAAAGCAAAGGATATAGTGCAGTAGGAAGTCTTCTGCACTCTCCTATAAATTACTGTGCAATTAGTATCCACTGGCCATCTACGCTACACAAATACAATACCAGCAAATGATGTTTTTACTTAACAAGAAAAACAAGGACCTAATACTCTCTAGCTAGTGGCACATGGCTTTAATCCCAGCACTTGGGAGGTAGAGGCTGGCTGATCTCTGAGTTCAAGGCCAGCTTGGTCTACAAAACAAGTTCCAGGACAGCCGGGACTACACAGAGAAACCCTGTCTTGAAAAACCAAACCAAACCAAACCTCCCTGATCTTCCAGAGTTCCAAAGTTCAGTTCCCAGTGTGTGTTTGTGTGTGTGTGTGTGTGTGTGTTTGGGGGAGCTCACATCTGCCTGTAACTCCAGTTCCAGGGGATAATACTGGTGGGTACCAGTATTCATATGTTCATGAGTGCATAAGTGTGCATGCACTAGCGTGCACAAATACAAAAAATATTTTGCCAAGAGTGGTCACACTTTCGTCTCAGGAATTGGAGGACAGAGTCAGGTGGGTTTCTGTTAAGTTCCAGGCCAGCCTGGGCTGCTAGTGAGACTCTGTCTCAGGAAAAAAAGAAAGACTATTTGATAATTGACATATTCAACAGCAGTGTTCCTTCTCTTATCACATCAAAACTTGTTTTAATATAGAAGAATAAACCAGTAGCAGTGAGTGGCCCATACTATAACCACAGCACTCTCAAAGAGACAGAAAGATGCCAAGTTGGAGACCACCCTGAACTACACAGTGAGGTCTTGTCTCCAAAAAGGGAAACATAATATATGTGTACATAATATTTATAATACATGTATATTAAAAGAAATAGTGTATCTATTTCACATGAAAAATTACTTTGATGATTACTAGCAATATAGCATTAAAAAGGGACATGTTTACCATATTCCATATTAGATTTTATCATTTCTCATATATGTTCCTTGTTTTGAGACAGAGTTTCTTATTTTGTGTAGCTCTGACTGTCCTAGAACTCGATCTGTAGACCAGGCTAGCCTCAAACTCACAGAGATGCACCTGCCTCTGCCTCTGTAGTGCTGGGATTAAAGGCATGCAGCACTACACCCAAATTCATATATGCTCTTGATGACTGCTATTCTAAAGAGCTATTATTATCTGTCTAATGAACCTTAACCCAAGGCCCTTTGTCTGGGCTGGAGAATCCTTGGTCCTGCCACAACCTGTTACTTAGCATTTTAATTTTGTTATGAAAACACAAGAATCAAGAAAAAAAATACCAAAGCAAAACAGGAACCAACATATTAGGTGATAAATACGACAGAAGAGACATCAACTGGATAGAACTACTAAAAAGATATTAAGGAAGTAATCAATAATAGTAGCACAAGGCAGCTTTATGAGTTATATGGCACCAATGGGAAGATGTTCTATTAAAGTCTCTTTCTTGCAAATTAGTTAGCAGGATGCGTAACCCCAAACTTACAAGGAAGCGTTAAATATTGTAGCCGTATGAGAACGTGGGCGAAAATAATGAAAACGTGCTTATTAATCAGAGCTTGGAAAAGATGAGGTGAACGCAAAGATCCCAGAACTAAACCCATTTTAAACCAACCAGGATGAACTGATGTCATAAGTCTACTTGGAGGCCAGGGAAAACATAAAACCAAGGGTATTGGCTCGTGGTAAGAGCAAAGACTGTCCAAAGTAGAACGAATGATGAAAATCAGTGACGGGAAACCACCTAATAATTTCAAAAGTGAGGTGGGTTACGAGGCAGAACTTCAATCCAAAGAAAAGATCTTTGCGGAGAGGAGGTGTGAGAGAGGTACTGACTGGCTGAAGCCGTGGAAAGGCGGGATGATGAGGTGAAAACATGACTCAAGCTTAGAAGGTAAACCCCGAGAGCTGCGGGCAGGATGGGAGCCGGGCTTCGACGTGGCCCGGGATCCCCTCACCTTGGCCTTGTAGCTGGGCAGGTTGCAGAGGATGTCCGTGCGCAGAGCCTCTTCTGCCAGGCTGCGGGCGCACAGGCTCCGCCACACCTCGCTGTTCTCGTCGCCGTGAAGGCAGCGGTACCAATGCTTGCACACCAGGGCGCAGCTCCGCAGCTCGGACAGCTCCAGGTAAGAGAACACCAACTCCAGCACCCGGCTGGGCAGTCGGCCGCCGGCCCCGGAGGACCCCG